CTCAGCGGATAGGAGGCAGAGAGCACCTTCACATTTCTGGATGAAATCCGCTGAGCGGATTGGAAATGGCTGAGCGGATTGGAGGCAGAGAGCAAAGGAGTGGTGCCAAACATGAGACTGGATGTGGGATTTTGTCATACCAAACGTGAGGTCCTAGGGGTTTCGCACTTTACTGACATCAAGCGTAGGTTGGGTGGTGCCAAACATGGGCAAGACAGAGAACTCCCTACCTCACTTGACGTCAGGTGCAAGGTGTACGTGCTACGATGAGCGCAAGTTATCTTTTATGTAATTATTGATTGGTGAGTGGTATGATGACCATGAATAGATTTGTTAATTATATTGCATATTATATGTTGAATGGATGATAATGATGATTTTATGTATATTTGTTAATAGATGTTGGTAGGACTAGAATGTTGATAAGCATTGGCATCCTACACTTTGCATGGTTAAATTGTGGTTGAGCATTGATATGTTATGTATGATTGATATATTATAGTTGCATGGTTGGGGTGTTAAATATAAATTAATATGTTATTCTTGAATGAGTTGATAGGCATTAGTATGCTATATTGGAATGATGCGATTTTTTCTCTATATACATTGACTTGGGGTAATGTATATAGATGATGTATGTTGAGGTGTTGATATTAAGAATGTTATGGGCATTAAATCATGTTGATTGGCTTAAGATTAAAGGAAAAGAGTTGTTTTTGAAAGTTGAAGATCCTATGTAAGGGATCTTGTCGTGGCGCTCTAGGAGACTAGTTGAAAATCCCCCTTGAATAGGTGTGAAACTCTTGGAGTGAATTTTTTTAGTCTTCTTTAGGTTTTTAGTCAATGTAGAGTAAAGTATGAAGTCAAGGACTATAACCCTTAATTGATTACTAAAAAGGTTGTGTGATTCCTTAAGGATAGTTAGTGGACTAATTGCATAAGTGACTTGATAATGTATATTAAGGATCGTAGGATGTCTATATCCAAATTATACTAGTCTTGTCGGTAAAACTAGACTTTTCTAATGTAAGTTGTAACAAATCAGGGGAGGAATTGGTATTTCATTTTAGCTAACAATCTAGCAGGTGCATAGGACATGAAAATGATCAAGTTGTTTCGGTAGAGTCAAGCTATTTTGACTACTCAAGTGTGTTAGTAGATCTTCGTAAACGAATGCGTAACAATGCATTAGATGTTGTGCTTGTATATGATGTGGTGTGAATGTCACCTCTTGCCTTCCTAGGCATGATTCCATCAACATGGATGGGATGGGTTTGAACTGCAGGGGCGGGGACGGATATCATGAAACTCGTACCCGACCCGCCTCATTGCCATGCCTAAATGGGAGGCTTCTTGCCTCAGCCACGTCAAACATAGGTAGTTGGGTGCTAGGTGCGGGTGAGATAAGAAGTCTCTACTTTGATAGCGTTAAGCATGAGTTGCATGATTATAATGTGATGTTTTAAGTTGTTTTATGATTGAAAGATGATGATTAAGTTGTATAATAAAGATGGTATGCTGATACTCATTATGTTGAGTTGATAGACTATTTAATGATGTTTATGTTGTTAAGTTGTAAGTTGATATATGAGGTTGTATAATTGTATGATGTTATAGTTGATTAAGTTGTTAAGTTATTAGGCATGTAGTGTAGATACATGTCTTTGTTGAAATACATAAAAATTAGAGGAGAGTAAAAGATGTTCTAAAAATTAAAATATCTCATTGTGCGAATATAAGTTGTGGTATTCCAAGAGTTCAGTTGAGAACTCTTCAATAAACAAGTTGATTTTTAAATAAGTAATTATTTTTAGTTGTCTCCTCTAGGTTTTATATAGAATTCATATGTGAACAAGATCGAGATATACATGTATAATAAAGTGACCAATCAAGTAAAGTACATGGTCAGAGACTTAGTCTCTTATTGAATATTAGAAGGACATAGTATTTAAGAGATAGTTGGCAAGTTAATATTATAAGAGGCTTTGTATTGTAAGTTAATGTCGTGATAGACTCATACATTGGTTGTAATGCCCTAACAGTAATAATTGACTTCATAATTCAAATGACAAAACTTGAGAAATCAAATTTAGTACTCTTTGAGGTCAAACGTTGTCTATATTTGACCTGACTGCGATAAGTCGTCAAATGTTATAATTTGATAAGATCTAACCACTTAAACTATTTATCTTTTTTGTAAGAGATCTCTTTAGTTTATATGTGTGAAGAAACATTAGTTATTTATTGTTATTTATATTGATTGTGTTGAAGTTAATAAGTTGTATTGTGTAGAAAGTTGTATGTGTGATACTTGATCATAAGTTAAAATTGCATGGTGAATGAAAGTTGTTGCTTAAGTCGTTTAAGTTATTAATTAATATTGTTTTTGTATGTTGATTCTTTCTACAAGCACCCTTCTTTTTCTTGTAATGAGAATTGCAATGTTCATATTTAATATAATAGCAGGACAAATTTACATATTGACTTGTCTAGTTGATGAAAAGTCTTTTATTGATGGCTCTTTTTGATGTCACTCTATTATGACTTAGTTATTATATAGACATTTTATGAAAAATCAAATTATACGAGTATAAAGCCGATAACTAAACTATATAGAACCAATTCAAATTAAAATCTAATCCATTTGAAGAAGAAAAAAAGCAAACCAATCTACTTTATTAAAAATGATTCAATTAATCGGACCAATTTTATAAAATGGACAAGTTTAGATATTTGGAAAATCTAATCCATGAAACGTATATACAACATACACAAACCTAAATACAAACATCTCCGATTAAATTTGTAGTATTTTACTTGAAAAAACATTCATAAACTTGAATTTTAAATAATTTTATTTTACAAAATTAATTTTAGTTAAAATGAAATAAATTCATATTTATTGCCACATCATACTGCATGAAAAAGTAAATTTTATTTTTCTTTTGTGCGGAGAAAAATACAATATAAACATAAATGTCTTCTATATTATTAAAGAAAAATGCTTATTTTCAACTACAAGGCAGAAATCAAAACTATATTTAGTATATATGAAGAGATAAATACCAGATCGAATACCCCCCTCCTCCTACAATGCTGCCAGGACAAAAAAAGAAGTTAAAAAGCAGAAGCCAAGATCAAGTAGCATCTGCTTCTAAGTTTGTCTACAGAAATTTGCTATACTGGTGCAACAACCCTAGCACTCAGCTGCATAAAATGTAATTATGAAAAGTAGAAAGTACTATTAATATATGAGATCCACATTATCATTTTGAACTGATCCTGATTCTAATATTAATTATAATCAATACACCATCCTTCCTTCGAAGTCAATGAATGCCAAATGAGCTCTGCGCTGCCGAACCTCTCAATTGTTCACTCCATTTATATCAGGATTTTTAGCTCCTGAAACATTTCAATATATTTAGACAGGCAGAGGAGAGAAAATATAAGTGAGGATCCGTCATTTTAAGCATTGAAATTTTTTAACCCTAGCGAAAATTTATCATATTCAAATAGGATTAAAAGACGGGAAGAAAGCTAACCATTGGGCATTTCATCTCTGAAGTTATTAGCTACATGTGTGAAAAAATCTTTAGTAGCATCTGCAGAATCACAAAAACAAAAGTTATGCAAGATACAAGGATCACATGACATGCACACTGAAATATTGGGATAACAATAACAATTCTTCTACTAACATTGCTTAGCGCATAAAAAAACAAGTTAAAAGAACATAGAAACCAGAGCTTGATATTCAATACGTCTAAAGTATTATGTATGATTCAGAGAGGCTCCTTTATTGGTGGATTTCTTATAATATGAATTGAAAAGTAATTTCAAATATATTTTCATAGGTAACAGGAATTTGACACTATAAGCATATCATCTGTTAACAACTATTGCCTTTTGGCAAGCTCATTAAAATAGAATTGGTCTAGTATACTGTTTCAATGAATCAAGGGACAAGTAGTTCTCAACGATAAGTCATGCTCCAAGTGTTACTTACCATGCTTCATGGTTAAAGATGGGTCATGCTCCTGTAGACCAGTAATAACTTTTGCTGGTATCCCTGCCGCAATGCTTTAAAACAAAGCAAATAAAACAATAAAGAAACATCACCTATCATTACAAAAAACAAAAAAAAATCAGGTAGAAGCTGCAAGAACATTGTTTAAAAGATATCCATTAATACCTGTGGGGAGGGACATCTTTTAACACCAGGGAGCCTGCAGCTATCATAGCACCTTCACCAATCCTTATATTCCCAAGTATAGTTGCACTAGCTCCAATTAGTGCCCCTTCACCTACTTTGGGATGGCGATCACCTATTTCCTTTCCCGTGCCTCCTAATGTTACACCCTGTCAAAATCAGATATATCATGCAAAGAGCATAATGAATGTCTGTTTTAAAACAGCTTTAATTCAAGATAAGAATAATAAGTATTAAAATAAAACAATTTCTCAAATGTTTTCTCTTCGTAGAAATAAAGAAAATAGAAGCAAAGTTGAAAAGTAGAATCAGAGATTAGCATTCAGAAACTGTTTCCACTTTCCAGGATAAAAAAGCTGTTAGCTATTTATTGCCAGTCTCTTGTGTAGAAAATACGAAGGTGTTGAGAACATATTTATTTCAAATAATTCATAAATGTTTTCCTCTTATGCAAGAGCCAATTTGCTGAAATGGCATCGTTTAGGAAATAATAAAAAGCTAATTTATTTGAAATGATTAAAGTTTGCAAAAGAGCTAGCAAAAATAATCATAAAACAAATTAATGAAGAATCACAACTCACGTGCAGCATTGAAACTCTGTTTCCAACAATAGCAGTTTCACCAATAACCACACCTGTTCCATGATCTAATAAAATTCCCTCCCCAATTTTCGCAGCTATATAAGAAAACCATAAAAAGATGAAGTTCAAAATAATAATAATCAAAGACCAAAGAGCTTTCAATGTCTTCAATAAAGAGGCAAACATCCTTCAACACAAAACTCAAGTTATCGGTTGTCCTACTATAAATAAAAAGTGAAGAAATCAATTATCTATGTGCCACCAACAATTAAAGATTGAACCCTCAAGAATACCTTCTGCTTCATTCATCTATATTTTCATTTTCAGAAAAATGCTGGCAGAACATGAATCTATTTGCAACATTATATTGCTTCTCTTATAGAAATTTACAACAGTAAATCGATTGCTTTCCCTAAACAAAATCATCCAATACATGTTAACTATAATCAGGATGAAACCAACATACCAGGATGAATGTCCACTCCAAAAACCTGTGTGGTAAAAGACGAGCAATTATAATCAGCAACAGAAAAATTACATTCCCTTAATTTTATTGGACTCGTAAAGGCTAACCAACTAGAAAACTACCTCACTAACACGGCTTTGCAAAGCCAGGGCCAAAACTTTGCGTCCCTGGTGCCACAATGCATGGGCTATTCGATGTACTTGCAGAGCATGATAACCCTGGGGAAATAGCACAACATTAAATGTCAAAAAAGAGTCCAATGAATGAAAGGGGGGAACTAAAAAAGTGACATTTTTGTAATTATGAAATTTTTTTTTACATGATTCACAATAACACAATCACAGCAATAGTGAATTAGGAGTGCGGCAATATAGTAAAACAGCTGGAAAAGAAACACAGAGACTTACCTTCATATACAAAACAGCTGAGCAATATGACAAACAAGCAGGGTCCCGATCTTTAAATGCCTGTTCAAAAAGCGGCACCAACGTAAAAATCAAATTACACCAAAACTTTAAACAATAAGAGTCAATTAAAACGCTTAATTGCATTTATAGTCTTCCAGATATCACAATTATGCGATTTTACATTTTATTCACTCACTCATTCCAATTGTGCTAATTAAGTCTATTAAGTATTCTCTCAATCAGGTCCCTCCATCCCTATTCTATAATTAACAGAACCAGAAGCACAAACTGGAAATGACATTGAGCAAAGAAATTAGCCATTAATATTATGTTTTTAAGTTGATACTACTTCACTATGTTTATTCAATCATGTCATGCCCCCAATTCGCCATTAATTAATTTCGTCTAGAATGGAATGAAATCAAAATTAAAGGACGTATGAGAGAAAATTTGAGAGACTCACTCGGTTAGATGAGAACTGCTGCTTACATATTTTTGACACAAGTTGTTTTTATTAATTAACATGGACAAAACTTAGGTACTATATTCCACAGGTTATACTGTTCTCCAATCAGAATTTGAATTTCACGACACTAATATGCATAAATGTGTATTACTCAACTCAGCTGTATATAGTACAACTTCAATTCTCATTAGAGAATAATATCAATTGTACAAATAGTACTGTATCTAAAGCTTTGTCTAAATAAAAATTTATTGAAAACTACAAACTATTAGTGATGAAAGGTAACTGACAATACACTAAAAAGAGTGTAACTAAAAATGGAATGAAAAAAACCTGAACATCAAGACGAAGGGATCGCTGGATAAGTTTGTCATGCATAACGACATTGGAAAAAATATCCATAAGCTGCGTGGCCAAGAGAGTGGGGTTCTGGAGACGGTTAGCGACGACGAACACCAATGCTTGCTCCAAGCAATCATGCGCCAAGATACTAGCGTACAAGAAGCTACTCAGAATGGGTTCCTTCTCCGCCTGCACGCGCAGTCACACACAAACACACCATCGTTCAAATAAAAACGAGGAAACCGAAGCGAGAGAGGGATTTGGAAGTTTCGAGCTTGACCTCGAGCTTGGCTTCCTGTCTGACGGCGTCCCAAATGGGGTCGGGTCCGTCGAATTGGGGCGCGGGAGTGGGGTCGGGTGCGCCCATGGCGTAGACGGGGAAGATGCGGTAGGCGGAGGAGAGCGGGGGGAGGCAAACGGCGTCGGCGTCGGCGTCGTCGTGGTGGAGAGGGCGGTGGTGGGCGGAGAGAGGGCGGTGGTGGAGCATGTCGGAGGAGGCGAGCCAGGGGCGGTGGCGGCTCAGACAGGCCATGGCATGGGTTGAAATAGACGAGGAAGTAGGAACCGTCGTGGAGTTTGAGTTGCAATTGCAAATTTGCAAGTGCTCGCACCTCCTCCTAGCCTAGCCTACCAGATGTAACTGTTCATACAGACACCCACAAAATTAATGAATCAATATTTTATTTAATACTGCTAATTATTAACCAAATTAAAAATGTTGTTGTTTCTAGTACTACTAAACTAGGAAAAGATTCCAAGATTTTGGAACTTGGCAGAGTGTGTGATGATGATCTCACATATGACAAAAACACTGAAATAATTATAAATATGGCATTGTGAATGGCTCACAATGCACCATGCCCACCCCACCGCATCAATCAAAACCTTTATACCCTGTCTCAACACTTCTTGCCCTCATTCTTTTTCTTTTCTATAAACTATTATTACTTCTTTTACATTCACTGACACCTAAGGTTGATTCACGCTTAAGCAAGGTCAGGGGTTCGAATCCTGCCTTATGTATGCAGTTGCGGTAAAAAAAAAAATTTGCTAACAGCTACATACGATTATAGAAATTTATTAGTATCTTCCATTAGTATTTTTTTACTAATCTTCCATAAGTTAATTACATTTTTTATTATATTTATTTATTAATTCATTAGTTAATTACAACTTTTATTTATTTTAAAATTAGTAATGTTTTAATTTTTTATGCATAGAATTAACCATGACAATAATAAGATTGGAAGCTAAAATTTGATGTATATTACTCTAACATTTAGAACTAGACTAATTATAGTAATTTTAAAACTTGGGAGTAAACTATGTAAAAACAAACAAACAAAAAAAAACAAAACCTGAGTAGAGACAACTATATGTATTATTACATTGAACAGAAAAACATTCCCGTTAAAGTGATTGATCGATCCTTCAGGAGTTTTTTCCCCTCGTTTATTTTCTTCAATGAGATATGGCCGGTTGTGTATGTTTAAGAAATCAATTTAAAATTAAGAAACTAAAAAGGAAATTGACAATACCTAATTGCTAATGCATCTCATAAAAAATCATTTAGTTATCGTAGGTGTCAGGTTATAAATCATATATACGAAGCATTGCAGATTATTAGCAGAAGGTAACATCATGTATAGTAATTTGATTGCAATCGCAGAATATGGAAGGAAAAAAAGTTTATACTATTGTCTTTTAATTATTAGGTGAGAACAAATCAGAATGAATTTGTAATTTGAAAATAATGTGATACGACAAACAACATTATAAAAGAATACAAAAATAAACAAAAATTATGAGGGAATTATATTATTGATCATAAAAATTAATGTTAGAAATATATATATATATATATTAAAACTCACATCTAAGCTAATTTACTTCTGATAAGGATACTAAACTTTCCTAGTCTAAGTATCAAAATCCGAGAAATCGTGTTGTGTTGTGGATTAATATCCAAATCTACTGTTGATCTAACAAGTCCAAAAATACCACATTGTTAAGTTGATTCAATAGAGTTAAGTCATTTAGACTGTTCACCTTGTTGTAAGAGACCCCTTAGTTGAAAACGTGACAATACATTATGTTGTTGTGTTGCTAAGTTGTGTTGAGTTGTAAGTTTTTGTGTTGTTTGTATACTATGTTGATATGTTAAAGAGTTGCTAAGATGACATGATAGTAATTTGTTTAGTGGTGATGCAAGTTGAGTTGATGATATGTTGTTTAGTGTTGGTAAACTATGCTTTGGGTTGTTGTTGTGTGGTGTTGATTGAGTTGTTTGTATAGTTAGTTTATTGTTTTTGTATTATGTTGTTTCCTTTGATTACAAACTTACTCTTGCACTTTTCTTGTTGTTAGATTGCGATTATTACATTATTGTGGGAGCGAGACAAGATTAGGCTGGAAGGCTAACTGCTTAAGTGTCATGCTAGAGATGACGATGTTTTGTTGGAGGCTACTTTGATGTAAATTGTATAGAGAAGATGCTTGATCGACATTAGGGTTATGTTTTTCAATATTATATTAAATGTATATATATATATATATATATATATATATGTGTGTGTGTGTGTTTTAATATTTTATGATTGTTAATAAAAAAAATTATACGAATTTTGTCGAATATCTGAAAATCACTTTTTATTAGTGGAATTAGTATAATTTTTTATTATCTAATATAATAAATATATTTTAAAAAGATAAAAAGATGTTAGGTTTCTCGTCATGTCCCAATAAAATGGTGGTGCATTAAAGCTTTGTATTAACAATAAGTCAAATAAGAGAGGCTATTAGCTACTCAGAAAAGAGAGGTTACACATAATGCATAAAAATTAAAAAAAAATAACTGAACTATCAAACTTATAGATCAACTTAAATAAAATTATTTTAGTTCAATTAATAATTTTGAATCTGAATCTTGCATATTTTCTTACATATACAACTAGGTTTAATACTTAAAAAAATATTATTTATAATAATTTGAATCGGTTTAAATAAGATTAATTACAATAATAGATATGTATGAACTATGAAAAAAATGAAGAAGAAAAAAACAACAACAACTACTTAGTTGATCATCATGATGAAACCCATGATACAAATAAACGACAACGTAGAAATGCAAAAAGTTGGTTCAACTTGACTATGGCAACAACCGAATGATTGAGGACAATTACTAAAGTATTACTTAGACAAAGCAATAATTAATAAGATCTAAACAAGAAGAAGTTGTCTTGTCCTGAAGGGGTGGCGGAGCCACCGTCAATTCTCCACAAATTAGCACTTTTGCTTAGACTGTGAACCACGAAGCATGAAGTGGTTACTTTTGGACGTGTTCCTTTGTCACTTTATGACTAGGTTGAATGTGGTCTTGTAGGCGTCCAGAGACATTCCCCACTAAACACAATCTAGGTCCCAGCTCTGTACCCAACACGATTACCACTACCAATTGAATAGGATCACCAACATGAGATTGAGGAGTCATCTTTGCGACTTGTCAGAGATCTTCATCCAATGAAATATTTGTATGCATCACTTCACTTACATTATGATCATGTCCATCAACTTTGTCTGACTCAATTATTTGTATTATTGGCATAAAATAGTTGTTAGATATTGTTTTTTCTATTAAATATATTTTTATTTGTTAAAACTTTGTTTTTAGTTTGTCTCAAAAAAAAATTCATATATAAAATAATTTGATGTTAAAAACCAAAATGTTAATAGGAGAAACACTCGAGCATTAAAAATAAAAAATCAATAAAAGTTTATGGAAAAAAATTAGTTTAAAAAAATTGTTTCAAGACTAAAAACAAAAATTCAAGAATTAAAAAGACATTTATTTTTTTTTAAGTATGATACACAAAAGTTCCAATATCAATTATACATGTAAAAAGATTTTGTTAAGTAAGATAAAATACATGTTAGTGGCTTTTACATTAAAAAAATAGTTTTCGTCTGTAAGTTGGGAGAATAGTACTCTAGTTTTTTTTTTTTTAAATGGCGTGTTAAACTTGTGAAAATCACTCTGTGGAAGAAAAAACACTCCAATGACACTACGTTAATGGTTAATACTTATGCTATGTTTGATAATAATAAAAAGAAAAAAAAAATGAAAGAAACGGAAGGATGAAAAATAAAATAAAAGTTGAAGTTATTTAATAGAAACGAAAGTGGAGTGAAGATAATTTTTTTAGTTAATTTATGTTGAACTAGATAAAAAAAAGTTAAATGGATAAATGTAATATTGTGTATTTTTTGACTTATTTTATTAATTATATGATTTATATGATAAATTGTTGTTTCGTTGTTATGATTGTTGTTGTAGAGCTTTTGGAGTTAAGGAGGTCTTTGAGAATTAAGTTGTCTCTAAGTTAGTTTTAATTAGAGGTAGTTGTATTAGTTAAAATAAATAAATAAATATATATATATATATATAAATTTTCTTAAAATGTAAACATCATAAGTTCATGTATTTAAGGAAAATTAGAAAGACTAGAGAGAAGGTATTTGGAGTTGATAAATCTTTTCACCCGTCATTTTCTCTGATTCTTTCCAAACTCTTCTTATAATTGATCGAAGTTAGTAGATTGGTGATTCAAAGTTTGCATAGCCAAAAATCCCGAGCTGAGAGTCGTGTGGAGTTTTTGAACTCTTCTTCCATCTTTTTTCCCTCTTTCTATTTTTAGATCAATTAAAGGTAAGAAAAGTTTTTAATGAATGATTTATGTGTTGTAGTTGATGACTTACTGCTTGAATTCAACTATTGAATGGTTGTTTAGATTAAATTAAGTTGAGATGATGACTTGTAGTGGAGTTGTGGTTTTTGACCGTGTTTTGGAAATAAAATGGTGATTTGGGAAATATCATGGTTTAATGTTTAATATTGGGTTGATTTTGAGTTGTTTATGATGCCTATATGTTGTATTATGTATTACATGTTAGTCTTTTTTTAATTTCAGGTGAATTTGAGTCAAAATGAGATTCTGTCAAGTGCATAAATTCTCATCACGTCAGACACACCTTCATGGCACTAGATGTTGCTCAAATCAATGGTGCTTTACTTTGATAACAATAGATATGGTTTGAATGGCGTCAAGTGTGCGGAAAGAGAAACATCTTTGATTTTGTGACATTGAGCCCAAGGTTAAGTGATGCCCAACGTGACTAAGACAAAACTCTTTACCTAGACGATGCCAAGTGTTAGTGTGGTGACACTAGACGTGGGTTTTGCCACACCAAGCATGAGAGACTAGGAGATTCTCTGTCTCATTCGTGTTAGGCTCAAGCAGAATGGCATCGGGCATGAATGAGACAAAAAACTCTCAACCCAATTGATGCCAAGCGGAGAAAGAGTAGCATCGGGCGTGGTATGCTAAAATAAATATGATGTTTGTAAGTTGCTTAGTTATTGAAGTGCAATGGTTCAATGATATAATGGACGTTGTTGATGGTAGTTCATTATGCATTTTATTCTATGATAATGTATAGTGATGTATGAAGTTGTTTGAGATGTAAGTTGATTAAGTTGTAAAGTTGTATGTTGTTATAGTTAATCAAGTTGTTAAGTTGATAGGTATGTGATAAAGATACATGTATTAGTTAAGATACATAAAAATTATAGGAGAGTAAAGTTGTTTTAAAAATTAAAGTATCTCATTGTGTGAATATATTATGGTGCTCTGAAAGCCTAGTTAAAAACCTTTAAACTTTAGTAAGTAAGTTGACTTCTACGTGGTTATATGTGTTAAGTTGTCTCCTCTGGATTTTATATG